CTTTTCTAACAACCTCATGTCTGTAGGCAACATGTTGAAACAAGTATACTTTACAGGTAAAAAAAAATTAAGGTCTATAAAGAATAAATAACTTGCTCAATATCATACTAACTTAGCATCAGCAGCCACGAATAAAATAATTCCTGAAAAGGTAGTCTAATGGTACTGTAATAATAACAAATGTTATATATGGAGTTCCAGTTTAAATATACATTCTAACAACATGGTCAGAATGTATCTTTCTAAACCTAAGAAAAGTTTAGCTGTTAGTTCTCAATTTTGTTATTTTTTTTTTCAACTAGCTACAACTGAATAAGACTGATGCTCTGATTACTGTTATATGTGGTACAGAAAACTGTAATAGAAATTTGGAATTATCCAGTGAATTTATATGCCTCCATTATCAGCTTGGCATAATAAACTAATTAAGGACAATACGACTGCTTATAAATAACTCAACCCAACATTAATATTTGATAAACTTTTATTCTCATCCTGTAAATATTTTAACACTTCCAACTTCCAATAACAATATGCTACAACAGAAAGGACTCCTTAAAAAGCTAGCTATTAACTCTCACATACATGGCAGTTAATATCACACTAAAATGGTATATATCAATAACAAAAAATGTCTACCCCTTTTTTCCAAACTTACAAGGAATTTTAAAAAAGAAAGAAAAGAAAAGAAAAACTGATAATTCATTGAGTAGCTGGTGTAAATTCTGTGGAATACTGATGTAAATTCAGTACTGGTGGAATAGTGGTGTAAATTTCATATCGAATTTACTAATAATGCCTTCTCCCAGATTTTATACAAGATACAAACTCATATTTGGGACAACATATGCATACCTCAGAGACACTAACTCTCTGTATTAAAATATATGCTTCCAGTTATATGAATGGTATCACTTTAATATTTAAAATATCAAAATTATAAGCATAGGTTTAATAGTTATATGCTGAGTTTTCTTGATCTGTTCTCTAAAAGAATATGCAAGACCAAGAGGTTTTGATGTAAACTCTCTTGGTTTATAATTTTCCACTTTTACTTTTTACATTAAAATTGCCTTTCTCCAAACTAGAGAATGAACAAACTAAGAAAATCAGTTCTCTCTGAATAGCTATTTGATGAAACAGCAGCAGAAACAATAAGCTATCACTTCCATCTTTGTTTATTCAACCAATATTTTTAAAGTGACTGACTCATGTATGCTCAGTACACTTCCTCTTCAGTATTTAATGAACTGTGGTAATTGAAGGGGAAAGATCACAACCAAAGAACTTCCAACATGTTTCTGGTAGTGATAGACATAGTACCTATAAGGTGAATTACAGAAATCTTCTTTTTTTGTGACACAATACATCAGCATGTGGTAACTCAAGGGTATTGTAAAAACAGCTCTAGCCTACTTTAGTAATAGGAAAATGACAAAGTCCTCCTGAAATCCTTTCTTCTATATGTCACCTAATATCAAAACAAATGATCAACGTGTGAAGCATGGCTAAAAAATTTTGCAAACCACAGAAGACAGGTTCCACTTTCCATGAGTACACGACAGAATTTACTTCGGATATGACATATTAATAGCATGTTTGTTCTTTGAAAACTCCCCATCTAATCCCCTTTGGAGACAGAACTACCTTCTCATAACAAGATCAACCACAGTATCAAAATAATAATCAATGGTGAGGACTTAATCTCAGGACACAAGCATAAAATACTTCTGATTTACCTCTAGGAAAACACACATTTGCTTTGGTCTTTCTTAATTGCAATATTTCTCTTAAATAAGAGACTAAATTTGAAATGGTACACTTTTTCCTGTTTGTCTTCCTATAATTCTAGTGGCTAGGCTCAGGCAAGTAAACAGTGTTTTGGAACACAGTGTGCGTGTCCACCACTCTCTTCAGTCATGAGTAACAGAGAAATAGAAAACACAGTTCTGCATTAATTTTTTTTCTGTAAAAATATAATGCTCTCTTGACATAAGGATAAAATGAATTAATTACTCCCCTAGGTGGGATAAACTAAGAAATGTAAGAATAAACAAAGTTACAAGGCAATGTAATATATAGTCCTGATCAACCCTTCAATGTTATCAAAAGCAAGATTTGGCTTCTTTTTCTTTACTAGAAAAGCCTTGAGAAAGCAAAACAAAACTTAGCAGTGTTTCTCAAGTAGGCCCCAAGAGGAAAGTGAACATAAAGGGATCTCGGGGCACCTTTCCTTCAAGCTCAAAATTTCTTTCAAGTCTCCACTTAGAGCTTTAAATATTATTAAAATTTTGTATTCTACCTCATAATATATACATGTTTACTTTCATTTCCTCATTGCCACCAATCTTCAAAACAAAGGAAAAACATATACCAGGAATATGTGCCATGATTATGTTGTGGTTTCATTTGATACCTGGCTCCTCCCAAAAACCCAGTTTAAGAATTATAGATTTAAGAGTAATGTGGCAAATGAATAGATCCATTTATCATTTATCTTCTTTTTTATTTTATTAACAATGTTTTTTTTTTTGAGACGGAGTCTCGCTCTGTTGCCCAGGCTGGAGTGCAGTGGCCGGATCTCAGCTCACTGCAAGCTCCGCCTCCCGGGTTTACGCCATTCTCCTGCCTCAGCCTCTGGAGTAGCTGGGACTACAGGCACCCGCCACCTCGCCCGGCTAATTTTTTGTATTTTTTAGTAGAGATGGGGTTTCACCATATTAGCCAGGATGGTCTCGATCTCCTGACCTCGTGATCCACCCGTCTCGGCCTCCCAAAGTGCTGGGATTACAGGCTTGAGCCACCGCGCCCGGCCAACAATGTTTTTATTTATATTTTTTTGAGACAGGGTCTCACTCTGTTACCTGGGCTGGAGTGAGTGGTACAATCTCGGCTCACTACAAGCCATCCTCTCTGACTCCCGCCTCAGCCTCCCGAGTGGCCGGGACTACAGGTGCAGAACAGCATGCCTCGTTAATTTTTGTAGAGACGGGGTTTTGCCATGTTGCCGAGGCTGGTCTCGAACTCCTGGGCTCAAGTGATCTGCTCAGCTCAGCCTCCCAAAGTGCTAGGATTACAGGTGTGAACTACCACATTTGGCCACAATGTTTCTATTTTTAAAGCCTTAGCCACAGTGCTAAGAATTTATTACCTAAGTTGTCTGCCTGGGTTAATTTCTTGTCTATTCTGCAACACCAACTAGAGCTCAAACCATGCCTCCTTCTTGATAACTTCAAAAGCCAATTTTATCTGTGTACTGGGAAGCAAGGTGCTAAAAGTGCTAGATATTTTAGGAGAGAGGAGACTGTATGAGTAGTCATCTAGAGGTATGGGAGAGTAAATGGACCGGGGAAACAGAAAATGATTCTTGGGTAGCATAAAGGACTCACTGAGCTAAGGGATCATTAATTTAAAGTGAGACTGGTAAACATGGTTACTTTTTTTTTCCTCTAGGTGTGTTCAGATGTATGGGTGTGGACAAGGAGTTAAGTGTACACAAGGCTATATCACTATCATGACTATGAAATTTAAGCTGCATAAAGAAAGTAAGATCAGTAAAATCAGAGACTGAAAAAAAATAGATTTTTAAAACTGAGGGTTCCAACAGGTCTAAACACTTCAAAACTGTGAAATTGAGATTATGGAGGGGTTATAGTTTAGACAAAGATAAAATATAAAGTGGGTACATAGTGAGATGGAATGCAGGGCAAAATTTATCGGAAGAGAGGAGTTTCAGATTTGAAGACACCAGGATATTAGAAGAATTATACATATGAACAATGGAATCACCGAGAATTACAAAACAAGCAGTACTGGAATGAATGCCAGTAAACCAAGAACCATAATCTATTAGGAGACAATTTTCCATGGATCTCGTGTTTCCGCACATATCGTGAGCAGAGGCATGGACTGTCTTTGTTCTGGGCTATCTTTTTAAGCATGCTTGTGTATCAAACAGCCCTGGAAAATAGACAGTGTCTTCTTCCACAGCAAAGGATAGGTTTCCTTACACTCTTGGAAGAGACAGTCTCCTCCTTCCAAACAAGGGCAGACAAGCTTAGTATCCATTATAAAAGATTCCAGTTCCCTAAGCTTGGTGTTCCTCATCTGTCATTTAATCCATGGTATGTGCAGGTATCATCTGGACCTCTTCATATCACCCCTTGGGAATCAGAGAATTCGTGCAAGCAAATGCTGTCACTTTAGCTAAAGTTTTTGCTATTAGTAATAAGGTCCTTTGTCTCTGGCCCAGAAATCTCCTGTCTTGTGCCAGCATCCATGAAATTATGGCAGGTTAACTTCTTAGCTTGCAAGTAAAGCAAATCTCAGACACTTCACAATTCTTAACAAAATCTCCACTGAATGAGAGATGGAGATGAGTGATGACTATAACTAAATGGATAGAAGGTGGTATAGTCTGACAACATAAGATAAAATTCGGAGGTGTTTGAGAAGAAAGAATGGTCTGGAAAATGTAACGAGAAGCTAAGAGTACACTTCCAGGTTCAAAGGCAGAAAGAAGCAGGAGAGAAAATGGCCACTACCTGAAAGGGTTGCAGGTAGTATCATCAGGGAAGCAAGATTTAATTTAGAGCAAAATTAAAGTAATATTAACAGAAGAGGCTGAAGATAAAAAGAAATTTGCTGATGACTGACCTTGAGTTCCAGAGACTTTATGAAAGATTTTCAGGAAACACAGAGAGGTAGGTTTTAGGGTTAGTTTTGGATACATGTGTTAAGAAACCCACGAGTCTTGAGCTCCTTGCTGTAACTTACATGAGCAAGATAAAAGGTCATGATGAAATTAGTTATGATAGTTTTAATCAGATCAAATGTTTGCTTGTTTCTATGTCCTTTGACCACTTTTACCAACAAAATATCTATTATGAAATGCTTTATTTCTTACTAACATCATTTTAGAAAATTTAAAACATATAAGTTTTTAAAAATTTAAATGCCAAACTGTTATTTAAGATAGTAAGAAGCAAGTGTTAACTTACTTGAATTAGATCTAAAATGCCAAGTTCACTTTCTGAGGAATCCACACAGAAGACAAAATATAACGTTGCGTAATGTCTATAAATCAGTTTGTTGTCAGATCCTCCAATTAATCTAAATGACAAAAAAATTGTAATGTTATTGGAAACAAAATGCAAAACATTTTCATTAGCTCAAGCAAACTGACAATTTGTTTAAAAACCACTTGTCAAACGAAAGGTGACATTCAATGGCAAAGCATTTAAGTGAACTTATTCAGAGACTAGGTAAATTAAGATGGCTGTTTTCTTTAGCAATATCAAGTAAAAGAAGCCAGTGCTTAATTTCAGTTCATTCATTCATTAAACCGTTCTCTGAGTAACTACTGTGTGCCAGGTACTGGTAGTGGGGAAGGAGCAATAAACAAACATATCAGAACATCATCAGATAGTGGCAAGTGTTACACTGAGAATCAAAATACAATGATGATATATTGATGGGTTCCCTATTTCAGGCTGAATATTAAGCAAGAGTGACATTTAAGCTGAGATCTAATGATAAGGAGCTCGCTTGGAAAAAATTTAGAGAAGAGCATTTCAAGCTAAGGTAGTAAGTAATAAACGGCCATTTCATCAAGAACAAAGTATGTATGTTCAGGGAAGAGAAAAAAGGCCAGTAGATAAGAAAAGATTAGTAAATGATAAAGTCAGAGAAGTAGGCAGAAATTAGATCATGGGGCATTTGTAAGTGCTTACTAGATTTAACTCCATACGTCACAGTAAGTTACACAGCTTAAAACTGATTATCAACTAGAAAAAAAAGAAGAATGACACTTCTTAAGTTTTGGATAGATTCACCATCAAGATCTCTTCCAGAATTACATTGTTTTGAAATATAAATGCAAGAAAACTAAGCTAGGATACTAAATTCTTTAATGAAATACTTTTATTTATAATGATTGGAATTTTAGTATTTTAAAAATAATAATTTAGGAATCATTCCAAACATCTTATAATTTTCTAAATATAGTTTAGCTACTTCATAGTTAAGTCTGCAATAATGAATTCACCTTCTTAAAAGACCCCTAAACACTTAACATAATTTATAATCAAGGTTATATGAAACCAAAAGTAAACTAACATCCATCCCAACAGAATATAGGAAAATGGCATTTCTTTCTCTCTCTCTCTCTTCTTTCTTTTTGAGACAGAGTTTCACTCTGTCACCCAGGCTGTGACAGAGCCTGGGTGGCGCTATCTCAGCAGCCTCCGCCTCCTGGCTTCAAGCCACTAAAGTAGCTGGGATTACAAGCGCGTACCACCACACCCGGCTGATTTTTGTACTTTTAGTAGAGATGGGGCTGGTCTCGAACTCCTGAGCTCAGGAGATCTGCATGCCTAGGCCTCCCAAAATGCTAGGATTACAGGTGTGAGCCACCATGCCCGGCCAGCATCTATTTTTTATGCAGTAAAAATAATACTAAACTTACAAGTTCTGTAGAAACAACTTCTCAAGGTATACACTGCTTCTATGTCCTCTAATAGCAAAAGGAGAAATGATCTTTGACAAGAATAAAAATTTCCTACTATCCTAGCTACTCCTCTAGAGAAGATATTTAATTTAAAAATATCTACATGCAATTTAAAGATTCTGAGAGTGTATTTATAGACTGTGACTGCAATTGTTCCCTGAAAGAGGTAAAAAGAACACAAATAGGAGGCTTCACTTCATTCTGAATCAGCAATTTAGTGATTATCTTAAAACTTCTGCTTTACTTTAAAAGGAGAGCAAACTTCTGAAGAATATAAGTTTCAAAGAGGCCATTAATGCTATTAAAAGCAAGCAAAAATATTAACGTGGCAAGTATATATTTTGCCTTTAAAAATATAATTTTATCTTTAAGCTATAGTATAACACTGATAAAAATTCCTGTACAGAATGCAATACATCATATACAACCACAGGATTGAGAAATCCTGTTAGTCCAAATAACTCATTTTATAGAGGAGAAAACTGAGGCCCAAGAATTTAAGTGACCTGTCCAAGAAAATCAGCCTGTTAGTAACAAAACTAGGATTAAACTAGATGTGTAGCCTCATCTCTGCTGCAATATTTGCTTTCTATTTTTTGTAAGGTTAAAAAAGAACAATCGCAATTTCAAGCCACAATTTCTATTTCAAATAGCATCCTAGTTAGATTAATCAGGTTCTTACTTCTAAATGCAGTGCACACTGTGCTGGGTGGTAAGTTTCCTAGGAGATAAGAAATCAAGAGACTAGGATGAGAGGAAGTGACAGTAATGTCAAAGACAACTAAAGTTGAATCAATACAAGTAAAATTCAAAAACAGAAGCAGGTACACTTGTCTCAATTATTGAATTAGAAGCCTTGAGTTAACAGAAACATTTTTAAGTATGTATTGGACATTTAAGGACAGCATGATATAACCTTTTAGGAAACCCAAGTTAAGTGTTCCACATGATAAAAAGTAACTTATGACCATGGATTCCCTGTTATCCAGAGTATTTCTCATCCATCATACACATTAAAATACAGAAAATTCTAGGTTTCTCTGACTGATTCATGTTTGATAACAAACTGTTTTCATGGAAGCTATTAGTTTAAAAGTATTTATTTGTAATATTTGGCAATATTCTTATTCATTTTAAAATAGAAAAATTGATTAGCTGAATTAGGTATATTTGAAAAACAGACTTCAGTAATTGTAATAGTAAAATAAAATATGTAATCTAATTTTTATGCACATTCACACAAAGGAATACTCTATAGTCATTAAAAAGAATAAGCTTGTCCTAGATGTGTTTATATGCAAAGTTTTTGAACATACTGAGAACCAGCAACATGCAAATGAGCATATAAGCGTAATCTCATAAATAAAAATTTTAAGGTTGTATGTTAGTCAACACGTATAACATACTTCATATGTTAATCTATACAAACAATTTTCTAGAAGGATACACAAGAAATTGGGTAGAAGGACTAAGGTTGAGAGATTCTTATTTTACATTTTATGCTTCCCTGTAATGTTGGAATTTTTACCATTAATATATTACCTTTATATAAAATTCCCTTTAAAATTTTTAAGAGGGAAAAAAAGATTTCATATCTTTAAAAAATAATTCTTTAAGTTAGATTTATAGCTAACATAGGTGGCAATTAATTCACCTAATCCAATTAATCAAAATTAGAAAACTTTTACCATAAACTGATTAAACAGTATATATTTTAATCATATAGTCAAAACTTAGAAATGTCTATGAAATGCTTTACTTACAATCCTCCTTCTAGGAAATTACAAACATTTTCATCTCTCTTAGATACCAAATGGAAAGTCTCCCTGATGATTTGCTGTTGTGTATCTTCACTCTGAGGAAGAATAATTCATATATATTAGGACGGAGGGTATAGGTGTAATAGCATTTTAAGAATTTTTAAAATCAAAGGTAGTAATATGTATCTGAGAAATTCATCTAGGAGAGGGGTCCTTGGAGAAGTGACTTAAATTACACCTTACAGAAGCAAAACTCAACATTTTTTGATGAAAAAGAAAAGAAAAAACCAAGTATTTATATTTACCACTATAATAAAAGTAACATATTTCTAAGTTTCAAAAACCAACAAGAAAAAATATTAGATGAATTACACACACTGGTAAAAGGGAAACTAAATGTTAGTCAAAGCTGATTATCTTACGAATGAGTAAACTGAATCAGAAAGGTAAAGTTATAAATAGCATAGCTAATCTATATTTGAATGGAGAAAAGAAATAGAACTATGGAGCTTCCAATTAAGTTTAACCTTTACTAAATACAGACTGAGGTAAGAGTCCATATATCTTACTCATCTTTATATAAGCTGATCTAAAGCCAAGGATTGGCTCAATAAATATTTGTTAAGCTGGACTAAGCAATTCATATTCCAGTAAGAGTCAGCATCCTGACCAGGCACAGTGGCTCATGCCTGTAATCCCAGCACTTTGAGAGGCCGAGGCGGGTGGATCACAAGGTCAGGAGATTGAGACCATCCTGGCCAACATGGTGAAACCCCATCTCTACTGAAAATACAAAAACAGCTGGGTGTGGTGGCATGTGCCTGTAATCCTAGCTACTCGGGAGGCTGAAGCAGGAGAATCGCTTGAAGCCAGGGGGCAGAGATTACAGTGAGCTAAGATCGCGCCACTGCACTCCAGTCTGGTGACAGAGTGAGACTCCATCTCAAACAAAACAAAACAAAACAAAACAAAACAGAACAAAACAAAACAAAACAAAACAGGAGTCAGCTTCCTAAACACTGCAATAGAAAACTGAACAAGATCATGAACACCAATTTCACAGGTGTGAAAAGATGTGAATGGTCCACAAAGAAATAAAAAGCTACTAAACCTCAGTAGCAATTAAGTGAAATATAAATTAAAACAACGAGATAGTTCCACATGTACCATATTGGCAAAAGTATAAGAATATGATAGTATAAAATGTTGACAAAGATGTAGAGCCAAAGAAACTCTCACCTCACTAGTGGTAGGGTAAACATATAATCACTTGGGGAAACAGTTTTATTAACCAGCACTTTCTCTCCTAGATACTATTCTAAACCACATGAAACCAGTTTTTGAAGATCAAAAACAATTGAGCATTGGCAATTACACAGACAGTTGACCCTTGAACAATGTGGCGGTTAGGGATGCCAATCCCCCATGCACTTGGAAATCTACGTATAAGTTTTGACTCCCCAAAAATGTAACTCAGCTATACTTTTTCTCTTAACAATCTGTCATCATGACATTTTAAAAGTCAAACCTCTTTCTATAAGCAACAAACCATCCTTTGCTGGCATTAAATTCTCCAGCTTTAGATCCTTTACCTTCCTTATGCTTTATGTTATCATATAATGACTTCACTTTTTCTCAAATCATATTCTATAGGTATGCCTTTCTTACAGCATTCCTGTGCCCACATAAGAGCTGGATTTTCAATATTAGATAAAAAGGGATTTTGCAAAAGGTGCAGTTTTCTCACACATTGGCATAGCTATAGCTACAGATTCATGAATATTCTTTTCTTTTTTTTTTTTTTTAGATGGAGTCTCCCTCTGTTGCCCAGGCTGGATGGAGTACACCGGTGCAATCTCGGTTCACTGCAACCCACCACCAGGGTTCAGGCAATTCTCCTATCTCAGCCTCCAGAGTAGCTGGGATTACAGGTGCCTGCCACCATGCCCAGCTAATTTTTGTTTCTATTTTATTTTATTTTAATTTATTTCTATTTTATTTTACCAAGACAGAGTTTTTGCTCTGTTGCCCAGGCTGGAGTGTAATGGCATGATCTCACTCACCACAACCTCCGCCTCCTGGGTTCAAGCGGTTCTCCTGCCTCAGCCTCCCAAGTAGCTGGGATTACAGGCGCCCACCACCATGCCCAGCTAATTTTTGTATTTTTAGTAGAGATGAGGTTTCACCATGTTGGCCAGGCTGGTCTTGAACTCGACCTCAGGTGATCCACCTACCTCAGTCTCCCAAAGGGCTAGGATTACAGGTGTGAGCTACCGCGTCCAGCCATAATTTTTGTATTTGTAGTAGAAATGGGGTTTTGCCATGTTGGCCAGGCTGGTCTTGAACTCCTGACCTCAAGTCATCTGCCTGCCTTGGCCTCCCAAAGTGCTGGGATTACAGGCATGAGCCACTGTGCCTGGCCATGAATTTTATTTTCTTTATGATAGTCCTTTTGCTGGATTCATTTATCTTGAAATAGTGGGCAACCACAGCCACAGACCTCTATCTAAGGTGCATATCAAGCAATTTAACTTCTTCCTGTAGTGTCATGACATTTCTCTGCTGCTTGGGAGCACTTCCAACATCACTAGTAGCACGTCAAGGTTTATGATATTATAACAAACATGACAACAAATTACACAGGAATTGAGAGAAAGCACTTTTTACTGTGATGTGCAATTTACTAAAGATACAAACTGCTCACCAAGAGATGATTAGCATCACACAGCATTTTAAGCAGATTCTCAAAACACCTGAATTTACCACAATAGCAACAGAATATTGGAATTACTACACTAGTACAGTATAAAGCACAGTTAATTTTATACAGTTATAATTTAATACTGCATCTTTCCATTTGTTTACAGTTCTCTCCACTGAGAGTAGCACCACGTACCGCGAGTAGCACCATATCCAGTCTCTAAGTGTTTGCATAAATTTTGATACATTTTAACTTTTTATGATGGATTTGTATATATTTTATGGCAGTAAATGATAAAATAAGCTAGTATCTACTGTTTTATGCATTGATGACATACCTTCAAACTTATTTTTTTTTTTATTTCTAGGTTATACAATTTGCAAGTGTTTTCAATTTGTCAAAAATCTCCAAAAAATTTCCCAATATATTTACTGAAAAAAAGCTGTGTGTAAGTGGAGCCTTGCAAGGGTCAACCGTACATAAAAAAATATCTTAACCTCTGTACCAGGAGACAAACAGAAGAATGTTCATAAAAGCACTGTTTGTAATAAGAAAAGTTGAAAAGGACCCAAATGTCCACCAGTCACAGAAGGATAAATTACGGAATGTAATTGTACAATGGAATCCTATAAAAAGTAAGTTAAAGAAAGAACCGAACCATGCCCTTAAATATGAATGATTCTCAGTTGTGCACAGTGGTTCACACCTATAATCTCAGCACTTTGGGAGGCCAAGGGGGATCATCACTTGAGCCCAGAAGTTCAAGATCAGCCTGGGCAACACAGCGAGACCCCATCTCAAAAAAAAAAGAAAAGAAAAATTTTGGCCTGGTTCAGTGACTCACGTCTGCAATCTCAACACTTTGGGAGACTGAGGTGGGATGATCTCTTGAGTCTAGGAGTTTGAGACCAGCCTGGGCAACATGGCAAAACCCTGTCTCTACAACAAATTACCCAGGCATGCTAGTGCATGTCTGTAGTCCCAGCTACTTGGGAGGCTGAGGTAGGAGGATTGCTTGAGCCTGGGAGGTGGAGGTTACAGTGAGCCAAGATCATCCCACCACAATCCAGTCTGGATGACAGAGCAAGACCCTGCCTCCAAAAAATTTTTTTAAATAATAATTTTTAAAAATTCATTCACAATATCATCCCAAACAACAAGAAATTTTTTTAATAACTTAGAAATAAATTTAACCAAAGATGTGTAAGCCATGTTACTTCCTTTCTTAAAGATCTCTAGCTTTTATTTGACCTAAATAAAAACTCCCTACCATGCCATAAAACGTTCTCCAATATCTAAGCCAGACTAATCCCTGAAGTTTCATCATCTCTTTCTTCTCCCCCATATAATCTGCTCCAGCCACAATGAACTTCTTACCATTCACCTTCTTCATATTTTCCCACTTCTGTCTGGGAACAACTTCCTCACTCCATTCTCCAGCAACACCCTTTCTAAGACACAGCTAGAACATTACGACTTCTATGAAGTCTTTCCTGACTCTCAATTAAAAGTAGTCCTTTCTTTCTCCATGTTTCTTTGGTATTGTTTCTATTCCTATCATACACTTATAACAATGTGCTCAAATTTCCTTTGTGGTGGTCTGAATTCCAACACCAGAATCTGAGCTTTGTATTTGAAATGCTCAGCAAAGTGGTTGATGTAGAGTAGCCAATAAAAGTGTACTGAATAAATAAATTTGTAATCTAGAAGACAAGATCCACATCCATTTATATTACCCAAAATCTGAGTTACCTTACACACAAAAAAAGAGGCAATAAAGTTAAGGCAGTATGGTATAGAAGTTAAAAGTGCAAGCTGTGTTCTAATTAAGATGGTAAATTAAACACACATCTGCATTTGTTGTCTGCCCAAACCCCAGCTAAAACAATATTAAAGGGTTTCTTTCAGTAAAGGCATAAACACACAAGGATGAGGAGAATGGGAAAGGAAGACAAGAACAACAAAATCTTGAAAGCGTTTAAATAAGTGTTAAAGTATTCTCAGAAAATTTAATCCTAAATGGTGAGAGGGAAATCATAAAACTAACTCAATTTGTGTCACAAAATAGGCAAAAACTCATGAATTGGTGCTTTTACATATGTCTGGAAGTGAGGATGAAGACAGTAGTGTAAAATAAGGACTAAAAGTTTGTTTAAAAAGCAGAAGGATCACTAAATTCCCACTACCATCCCCAAGAAACGTTCTTAATCTTATTACTAGGAATAGATCAAAGGGAGGGTCTTCGGAGAGCAAGTGGTATTGTGGTAGGCAGAAAACTGGTCCACCAAAAAATGACAACACCCTAATCCCCGGAACCTGTAAATATGTGGTTAACATGACAAACGCCTTTGCAGATGTGATTAAGGACTCTGAGATGAAGACATTATCCCAGAT